TATGACCATTTATCGATTTTGCATATTCCTAGTCGTAATGGCACCGACAGTATCCAGTCTGTCCCTGGAAGAACTGTCGAGTTCCAGGATCATTCGTCCGTATCCGAGAGGCGTCGCGCGATGAGGATCATCCATCACGAGTGGCTCGAATGGTCGTAAAAATGTGTAGGGGTAACACGCGTGTTATGCAAATCTATTGAATCGATTGCGCGGTATTTCCATAACGTTGCGATAGCGTGGTAGACGGTAACGTGGTGTCCGACGGCACACTGCATTTACGATCCTTACGATTACTCGATGATGTTGGAAGTGCCGTTAGGAGTGACAGATACATCGATCGCGTCTAAAGAGCGTATTTTGCATTGCAACGCGAACGAAATTAGATTTCGGTAAGGCTACAGGAACTAATCCTTGGGAGGGAAATGCTATATCATCACACGAGTTATCAGATTTACTTTTTTACGAGGAGTTAAGCTGTAGAATTATGTACACTAAAGCTTATATAATATTCAAATGTCGTAATTCAATTAATAATAATATCCGTCTTTTTTTTTAACTGTAATATATTTTCACATTTTAATCCCAAATAATCTTTTAAAATCGAGGCTTAAATCTCTCATTGAAAAATTGCACGTTAATCTTCATTTAAGTAATACCAGATAATTCTAGCTAATTCCTGAAGCTTGTACGTGTAATTAAAATTTCCCAGCGTTTCGTCCCTTTCCTTTTCTCCTTCGTCACCAACCTTCTCCGCATTCATGTTAAATTTCAACTTCGTGCACGCGACAGGTAGCACGCGTACGGACTTTCAGCCGCGCTTAAAGTTTTGAAGTGCCGTCACATATACCGCCACTTATCGTGGGAACTACATTTATGATCCTGTGAATTTATACGCAATATTTTGCATCGATCGTTGAATGCGCAGTGGCTTTTCGCAGGAAGCTTGAAACATTAATATCACGCATCGGCTACGCTCGATTTGATTCGACGGAGAAATATTACGTTAAAAATATCGGCGCCGATGATATCAGGTGAAATTTAATAAAACACGGGACATCAAATCTGAATGTATCTATCTGACTCGATATTTCCCCAGAATATGGGCGCTTATTAAATCGTAATTAACGTCTACATCACGGACCGATATCACGTAATTATTTTACTAAATTTCCCGCGAGAGAGGTAAAATGCCGGTTCGGTAGTTCTCGCTGGGTATCAACTCTGATCTCTCGATTAACGCAAGCCGCATGATACATCATAGTGCTTCTAACTCCGAGTTGACGATCGAGGTACACCATTATTGGGTCAGGCACGATAAGTAAGTTACGTGTTACTGAAGTTTCTCTCGCGGACTGCGAACGGGCGTTTCTCACGGCACAGCATTTAAGAAGCCGCTGTTAGGAATGGTTCGTTTAATACCCGCGCTCTCGGGATTAAACTGGATAATCCGTTTAATGCTCGTTCACAAGGCGCTCTTTTAGACGCATAAAGAAATTTCTCGGCGTTCCTCGATAAAAAAATTTCAATGTTTTGGTGAGTGAAAAATGGTCGGCGGTTGCACTGAGTTTCTTTACCGCGCAATCTCTGTCTTCTGTCCGTCCGTCGACTGTTTCTTATGACGCCGTACTCTCATTTGTCTTCCTCCGAAGGAAAAAATTAGAGGGTTGTAATGGCCGAAAGGTAACTGCGGAAACGATATTCCCGCTCGTTAGATTAATTGCATTTGGAATTTGCAATCCGCCTTTTTCACTGTTACGCTGCGTTGCGCACGGCTATTGTGCTCGCGGAATCCAATTTCGATTTTACTGCATCGCCAGCTATATGTATCCAATGTACTTACTTTTTTACGCATTGTGTTAATTCTCTCTTCGTATAATGAAGCCGTACGGATTTATTTTTAATACTCCCGTTGAGTCGAACTGGCGAAAAGCTATCATGAGATATCGACTCTTCGACGAGCGCACGGTGACATTCATTATATCCAGGAATATCTTGGGGCGATCTTGGAAAAGCCTCTCTTTTCATTTGGAAATGATTAAACGGAAGTCGATGGAAAGATGTCGCGCATCGCTAGGTTGCATTTTGCCGGGGATTATAACTATGGGCTCTTATTGCAGATCCGCATTCGCCCGTTTTAGACCGTGTGCTCCGCGGCACATTAACAATTCGTAATATCCGCCCTTCGCGGTCATTTATCCATCTGCTTTGGAAAACAGTTCGCTATACCGGCCATTGTTTGCGATGAACGGATGAATATTCGACTGTGTACACGCTGCAAAGCAATCTTGTGTTCTCCACCCATCCACCGAACTAATTGCTCTTGACCCTTTTAGCTGCACCGAATCCCCGTTTCCGCACTATCTTGAGATATACGTACTGAGAGCACATCAGTTTTTTTTTTAGATAAAAAGAGAAAAGAAAATTCTGTAAGGTTTCGAAGATTTATCGTTACGGCGTGAAAGATGAAACATCAGATTTTCACGAAATTGTATATTTTTTTTATGCCAATGTGCACTTGGCCGTATCAAAGAGAATTTATATTATATAAAATTTTATAGCTTTATTTATAAAACTGCGCTGCGCGTTTATTGATTTTTGTGACATTATTCAATAGAACATCGTATATTTGCGAGCGTTGAAATCGTACTCCAATCGTAACTGTATTAGTGCGAGCTGGCAATCGCGTTCTCGAATTGCGGTTATAATTTTGAAATGGCCACATTTAATGGACCGCAGTTTGCGTTCTTATCACACTGAAAGAAGAATTTAATAAAGTTACAGGATTCACACAGACACGAAGACATTTACAGTGTAGAAGATGAAAGTTGCAAACGTTGAAAATTCTGTCGCATCTGTCGGTTAGAATGAGATATTAGAAACGTCGTTTTGTAAGCGTCGCGCGAATTAAACGCCACTGACTTTGCCGTCTATTGTCTCGCTTGAACCTTCGTGAAAGTTCAATCAATAACGAAACCTCAGGCCTGATTTGTTGCCGTTGAATCTCAGCTTTAGTAATATTTATACAAAATTCTAAATGTCTTTATTTTTAAACTTTTATCATTGTTCTAACGTAAAAATGGCCTCCATTTATATTTATTGCGAGAAATATCAAATGCTAAGAAAGATAAAGAGATGTTTTAGTTTCCAAGATAATTATCTCAGCTTTCTCAACTTCACCTGTTTAGGACAAGTAAGGTAACTAATTATTTCGCGCTTGTTCATCTGTATAAAGTCTCGGAAAAAGGAGATCGTCTTTCATAACGGAGATCATTTCCATTGCGAAAACTATGATATAATGCAGCGCAGTCAACAAGTATCGTGGAATACGTCCGATTTCACCCATTAATACAAACTTTGCATCACGTTCTCGTCCTTGTGCTTATTCTTGCAAGAAACTATTCATTTCCACCCGACTCGTCGTATACACCCGCTGATAGCGAGCTGTGTATGCGGCTTAACGCTTCCCGGATTTGCACTCAACGTTATCGCCTTAAGTACCACGTTCTCATCTCCCTTAATCTGCTATCAAACGCCGTTAACCCTACGAGATACCAATGACATTTGCCAACTACAGATATGATCGTGCGAAAGGATTCAATTCAGCGTGATTCGGTAGCGATAGAAAACTTTCCAAATTACCGTAATTCATTGTTCAGAAGTTGCTAATATCATCTTCACGTTACACTTGATACGCAATTGATTGCAAGGGATATCACGAATCTTTCCGAAAAAAATACTTTATTTTTTCGCCAAAATTTGTTCGCAAACTCATATGAATATGTGTGTTTTCTTATGACACTGTTATTTATAGCTGACTCAATAGAATTACGTAAATTCACATCAATAGCTCATCGTGTGTAAAGTTGCTTCTTGACAACAATTTATTAAGTAAGTTCTAAAGCTGCGTGAAAGGCACTCATGAAAGCATTATGAAAGGAATATACATTAGCAAAAGAGACAAGACTTTCGTGCCAAGTTTAATGCAGAAGGCTTTGGTAAGAAGCTTGGTACCTTCGTAAAGCAAGATTTGAAAACATCCGCCGCTTGCGTGAGTCACTAACGTGGTTTACTACCGCACACAAAGGGGGAACTTGGAAACTCCCGCTTTCTCTAACGGCAGCAAAACTTTTCGTTAGGATTTATTACATATTTTTGACCTAGTTCTCAATGGAAAACTGTCACGACTCTCCCGTGGCGATCTCCGTACGCGCGCGTTTAACATATGGGAAGTTTGATAGATGGTTCTGTACAAAAATAAGATAATATAGATAATATAGATTACGCGAACTCCCGTTATTAATAATGTACATGTTTAGCGGAGCAGAGATAATTTTACCAAGTTATTAGACGACTGAAAAACTGTGAAATATTCGAGAAATGTTGTTGATTCATAATTCATCTCGCGCTCTTCAAATCAGCAGTCGGTTAAATTAAGGCGAATGTCGCCTCCATTTCTCGTAGCCGACATTTAGGTCGACGTGATAAATATAAATTCGGCTATCCAACGCGCAGATACTGCACATCAAAACGACCCCAATTCGGCGTCTCGTTTATCACGATCGTTGCCGTCTTTTGAAAACGGAACTCGGTTGTATATTGTGAATCTGCGGTTCTACCGGCCTTAGCGATGGCAAAGAGTGAGTTTCGTAGTTGAAGAGCGCATATAGACGACAAAGTGGAGTAAAACCTCGGACTGAACCAATTGCGTGTCACCGCCTGCACTAATTCGGCTTTGAATCCGTCGCGAGAAAAGCCCTACAAGACTCAATTGATTCTTTATACGTTAAAGCTGTTTCCTGGGCGATTCTAGGTCTCCGATCGTATTTAAAAGCTTGGGAACGGCTACATCTATCTGCTACTTCGTCGGCGAAACTTTAGCGCTCTAGAGAGTACACGCTAGATAATGGCAAAGCACGCTGCGATGTAGCCACGTGAGGAAACGTGAGGAACGCGACGGTAGCGAGAGCTCTGAAAGAATAAAAGTGTCGTTTATTCAATACCGAAGGGTTAGTCAGGAGGGTCACTGCGGCTCTTAGGTGCTTCAGGTTAAGTGTCTGTGTGTCCTCGAGGTCGTCACCGTCCTCTCCCAGAAGCGATGTTATCTGGACCGACGGCTGTCGTGGCGGCCTGCCCTGCTCGTTCTGTTTGATCTTCGCGATTCTGCGATGGTCCCCTTCCTTGCTGCTCTCATCCTTGTGAGTCAGTTTAAAGCGTCCGCTAGAGAATGGACATGCCATCTCGCAGATGTGCTGCTCTATTGTAGTCCAATAAGAGGATCGCCCGGATCACTCCGACGAGAGACGAGAGCACGCGGTGTTAATTAATGAGAAACATGCCGTGCCTGTTGTGTTTATCGGCGATCAGCTGAAGCAACTTCGAATGCTTTCTCGCCCGTCTTCGTATCCTTCCACCGCACTTTCTGGCGAATTCTTTGTAGACGTGGTGTGTGGACTCTTTTACGCGATCGTATGCAGCTCTTTCATATCGTTGTTCTAAGCGGCGCGCGAACACGTGAAACCGATCCGAAAACTCGCCACTATCACCGTCTGCGATGCTGTTTTCTCGATTGTCGTCGTCGTCGTGGTGTTGTTGATACCGGTACTGAGAAGATTTGCCGAAGAGCCCATCATTCCCGATCGCTCACTTATCGCACGACGTGGACGAAAGCCTCTCGTCACCGCAACGCGCTATTCGCGCGCACGCTATCCGGCGTCGTTTACGACCGCCGTCGGCCCGGACGCGATGCACGCGGCTGCATATTAAGCGCGAGAAACTCACCGCCGGATTTCCCTCTGTATCGGATCGTTAAAATATTTTTTTCCGCCCCACGTTTCGCCGAGTCGTTGTCGTTCTCTCGACACCCGTATTTTTTGTATCCCGCTAGTCTCCGAGACGACGATTTAATAGTGCGATATCGGCAACCGTAATTCGCGCGGGGATTCACCCTGTCGGATATACGGCGGATCGCCGATGCGATGGTGGATGCACAGTGAACGACGTGACGACGCGCTACATACGTTACCGTGCCGGAGCGCGTAGCGCCATACTGCTCGCGGATTGACCGAGGCGCAACGAGCAACGCTCCGAGGCGGTGGAGAGGAGAGCGACGAGGAAAGCACCCGAGCGAGGGTGAGTCGACAGCGTAAGGGGCGCGCGGAGGGTAGAGGCGCCACGATGGAGGGTAGCCGAGACGCCTGCGCGTGTTTTCCTCCCTCTCGAACTACCGCACTTTCTGTCCTTTCCGCTCGCAGGTTTGCTCGCCTGCCTGGCCGCCTACCTGCCTGCCTGCGTGCCTGCCTGCTTGCTTGTTTGCCTACCTCACCTGGTTGACCTGCCTTGCTGGTGCAGTTGCCTGCTAGTATTTCCGTGCGCTTTTCTATCTCAGAGATTTTCAGAAGAGAGAGAGAGAGAGAGAGAGAGAGAGAGAGAGAGAGAGAGAGAGAAATTTAGTATACATCTCGTTATCCATTATTAACTTCTGTAATTTTGTGCCGCAACCGGTGTATCTAGCTGACAGATGAAAACCTTGTATGTGCGGCATGTGTCCTTCGTTATTCCGAGAATTTGTTGAGCATTTGATACGTTATATTAAATTTATGGCTCGCAAATTTCGCGCGGTATGAATATTTCTCACTGATGAAAATCGATAAAGCAGCAGCAAATAGACGAATACATTTAATGATTATTTGATAGAGTAAATAGTGAAAGGGAGGATCCCTTGTGTATGATTATCGGAAATGTATCTAATTAGCAGATACATACATTTTCAATTTTGCTATTTATAACACACACATCTATTTAAATTAAAACTACTATTTTACTTATTTTATCTTCAAATTTTATCTTTCCTTTTCTCTTTAATTAAAATCTTGCTATCATTATCTTGTATCTTTTAATAAAAAGAATCAGGTTTCAGGTATTATGCGTTCATGTCAGACAACTTTTATCGCGAAAATTGCGATGTTATCGTAATTATTAAATATCTACAATAGATAATTATTTTATATATATAATTAGAAAAAATGTTTAATATCAAGATATCTTTGGTACAATTTTTTTTCATTAATTTTCTATAAATACGAACAAATTTTAAATTTTACTGACATTCTTTTGAACAAATATTTGTAATAATGATCAAGAAAATTAGTTTCCGATACTGTCAATAAAATAAAAATAACAGACACACAATCCGCGAGGAGATGTAAGTAAGTAAATATACTACGAAGTTAAGCCGCCTAACGTTTTCCAAGTTAATGGTGTATTTCTCTTTCGGGAATTGGTGCAAGATATTTACAGTAGAAAGATTCTATTACTTTTCTTTTCTTATAATTTTTATAGCAATGTTCTTTTCTTTTATTTTGTACTATTATGTGAAATAATACGCCCACGTAAGTTCTTTTACTAGTTGAACGTACAGCATTAGAAATTAAATAGATTAAGACGTACAAGAATTTACGTGGACGTGTTATTTCACATGGTTGTAAAATAAAAGAATATTGCCATAAAAATTACAAGAAAAGAAAAGTAATATTGTAGAATCTGTTGTAAATATTTTACATCAATTCCCAAAGAAAAATGTGCCAATACTTTGATCTGATTGAATATACTAATATCGATGACTGGTTTCTATTAACATAATTATTTAACTTACAAAATGTTGAATCATTAATTTTTAACGTAATGATATTGACAACTGAGAATTATTAAGGCAATTTATTTTATTTTACTGTTGCTTTTCGAAATCTTCGATTATAGCCAATGGCAAAGTGGTGAAACGGGTTGCACCGCATTATCTGTGAAACAAGCGGAGGATAGTAGAATAGATGTGTTTGGTGAAGTAGTTTGTCCAGCACTTTTCTGCCTCGTCTTCATGCTACAGACAGTAGGGGTCGGATATCCATCTTGATGTTCAACAATTTGGAACGATCGATCTGTACCATTATCACGAGGAACATTGCTTCGCCGCAGTTGAATGTCAGTGGTCCATCGAAGAGGAAGTCGGTTAGCTAAATCATTGCTCACGAGATTTCCTATCGACGTGTGCTATTACAATCACTATAGAGATCTGCGAAAAGATTAACAGAAAAAAAAGGTATGAAAGATGCTTTACAAATATTTCTGATATTGGCAATTGCATTTTCGAGAAGTTAAGAAAATATTTTATACTTATACGCAACGTCTTGCGGCCATATTATCTTTAATATACGAGAGCCGATATGCTGCGGCGATACTCTCGAGTAATAATCACCCGATTGTGATAAAATGGGGGCAATGAGGGTATAAATATCTCTTGCGACGCATATTGGATGTTGCAGAATTAGCACATTAAATCAGCGATTCGTACTCCTCTCAGATTTGTCGAACTGTTCGAACGTGTGTGAAATCATATCTATTTTCTATGTGCTATTTTTATTGTTTATTTTTTGCTGTTTAATGACTTAGATATATTAGATTATATATATATGAAATTTGTATATAAAAATTAATTATTAACTTTGATAAAATTGTTTTCAAATATATATTATATATATTAGAGAAAATTGAAACTATAATATGACCTAAAATGTTTTCACAAGCGGCATTCATGCAAATAACATATTGATAATCTGCAGAATTACATGTAATAATATATTTGCAACAATATGTTATATCATTCATAAATTACAAATATGATTAATTAAATGAGCACGAAAATTACTGTATGAATCTGTAAACATTCATATAGTATTAAACGGACATGCATATATGTAACGCATTCCATTAACGGCCGCAAACAACTGGTCGGCACGTGGTCAAAGGAACGTGTAACACTCTGCTATTCGTAATCGAATTACGTCGTAACCATCAGTGATTTAAACCGCATTTTTGGCAACGCATCGGAACGCCGCGGATGTGAAAATGCGATTTATGGAACGTGTTTTCCATTTGCCAGATTAACTTCAATTCGTCAGATGTAAAATTTGATTACATTATCATGGTTTCTCTCTCACAATATGGAATGTCTCTTTTTATCATCTTTACAGCACCAAGTGTATTCACCGTAAATGCACTATATTTTTGCTTGCTGAGTTTGCACTTACGATATCTCGATATTATGCTCGACATTATGCTTGCACACATTTTAGAGAGATCTATTTATGTATGCTGCTTGCTACTGCAAGAGAGGTCTTTATTCGTTCAAAGATATAATGTGCCCTATTTCAGAAACAAAATTGCAAAATTTTAGAGAGGCAGCTATTATATTCCCCAAAAAATGGGAACATTGATCAACATTTTCCATTTTAAATTTTAAATTGTCTTGAATATAGAATATATTTCGTAATTCCTATTATATAACAATAAAATTCAATTTACAATTTTAATTAAACTAACAATTTATTTATTTAATTAATCCAAAAAGAATTACTGCAAAAAACGTTGTGCTTTATATATTTAATGATTGTGTTTCACATGATTCTGTTTGCGAAGTAACAAGAACTCAATTTTAAACTCACACACAATACGATCGTGGCTCGCTAAAGTTTTTGTACTTTCTTTTGATCTTAGCTAGTTTCAACTTATCTTGAGATACAGCTGAGATGCACCGTGTAGCTACTGAGCTAGTAATACTTAACTCGGTGCTACTTCGTTTCGTATTTGTCTTTTAGTAGGAAAAAGAAGATTTATCCCATTTTCTTTGCGTGCTCGGCGTATTCTTTTTTTCTTCGCGGATATAAATTGTTTGCACGTGCAAAAAGAAATATTACGATTTCAGATAGTGACGGATCAAAGCGCTGTTACTGCTCGATTGCAGTTAAGTGTTTTCGGAGAAGCTTAAATATAGTCTGTAATAGTTCCTGGCTAGATGCCAAAGCTCTCAGGATCGTGATACAATGACGAGTTCTTTATCATACTATAGCTCCCGTGACCGGAATGCATATTCGAGATAATTGATAAGAAGAATCAACGAAAGAAAGATTTGTAAACCGATTAATTGCGGCTGTTGGAAGTGTTTTCTCTATTGAAAGAAGAAAGGTGTGTGTGTGTGTATGTGCATCAGTTACTAGCAAGAACCAACGTAAGCGTAGAAATTACTAAGGAGAGACATAAAACCTGGGGGATCAATAACCGTCTGGTGATCAATAGCTTACGAGGGTTAATGGTGGGATATTATCAAGTCGCCTTATTACTGCGGCGATAAAATGCGATATTTTATTAACCTAAATTTATATTTTATTATGCTTATGGTTAGATTTATCTCGCAAGTGAAAATTATTCTCTAAAATTTATGTAAATTGCAGAATACAATAATTTCTTTATTTAATAAAATAGCAGTAAAATAATATTTCTGAATAATGCAATACAATTGAATAATGCAATAATGTAATATAATATACATAACATAGCGTGTAAGGGAAAGCGAGCTATTTGTTGAAAAACTAGCTGCTATCAATATCAGTCATCAACTACAAATTGCTATGACCTCGTTGACAAGTGAGTTCGCGGAAGAAACGCTTCGTGTAATAGTTTCCGATATATTTTCCACCTTTTTAGAATTTCATAAGACAGTATTCTAGAAAATAACGGTGTATTTTGTATTCCCGTCGCGTTGCAACTGGTTACTGCTGCATATCGAAGAAAAACGTGTTGTACCAGCAAGATTTTATGAAAATGTGAATATTACTTTCGCGACGGCACGAATCGATCATCTTTCCCATTTGTCTGTATACCGCTTCTTCTGTATCGCAGTTGCAACAATTGCAATAACAGAAGTAATAGTATGGTAGTTTTAATTGATAATCAAAATTAAATATTTCAGTTAAAATAGCATTGCGTGTGTGTTTGTGTATATATACATATATAAAAGTGAAACTATTATCAAAATTTCTGGCAAGTGTTCTTTTTGATATTATAAAACTTTCATATGATTTGATGATTCATATTTATCTTTATCAAAGATACACAGCTACATATCTCACACGTTAAAGCCACTACAATGCTTTTATTGTACGTTTTCGGAAATTTTATAGCTCGATAGAAACGAAACAAAGCGATTTTCACTCCCCTTTATTTCATC